TGAACACAGATGCAAAAATCCTCAACAAAATACTAGCAAACAGAATCCAACGGCACATTAAAAGGATCATACACCATGATCAAGTGGGGTTTATTCCAGGAATGCAAGGATTCTTCAATATACACAAATCTATCAATGTGATAAACCATATTAACAAATTGAAGGATAAAAACCATATGATCATCTCAATAGATGCAGAGAAAGCTTTTGACAAAATTCAACACCCATTTATGATAAAAACCCTGCAGAAACTAGGCATAGAGGGAACTTTCCTCAACATAATAAAGGCCATATATGACAAGCCCACAGCCAACATCATCCTCAATGGTGAAAAACTGAAAGCATTTCCACTAAGATCAGGAACAAGACAAGGTTGCCCACTCTCACCACTCTTATTCAACATAGTTTTGGAAGTTTTAGCCACAGCAATCAGAGAAGAAAAGGAAATAAAAGGAATCCAAATTGGAAAAGAAGTAAAGCTGTCACTGTTTGCAGATGACATGATACTATACATAGAGAATCCTAAAGATGCCACCAGAAAACTACTAGAGCTAATCAATGAATTTGGTAAAGTAGCAGGATACAAAATTAATGCACAGAAATCTCTGGCATTCCTATACACTAAGGATGAAAAATCTGAAAGTGAAATCAAGAAAACACTCCCATTTACCATTGCAACAAAAAGAATAAAATATTTAGGAATAAACCTACCTAAGGAGACAAAAGACCTGTATGCAGAAAATTATAAGACACTGATGAAAGAAATTAAAGATGATACAAATAGATGGAGAGATATACCATGTTCTTGGATTGGAAGAATCAACATTGTGAAAATGACTCTACTACCCAAAGCAATCTACAGATTCAATGCAATCCCTATAAAACTACCACTGGCATTTTTCACAGAACTAGAACAAAAAATTTCACAATTTGTATGGAAACAAAAAAGACCCCGAATAGCCAAATGAATCTTGAGAACGAAAAACGGAGATGGAGGAATCAGGCTCCTTGACTTCAGACTATACTACAAAGCTACAGTAATCAAGACAGTATGGTACTGGCACAAAAACAGAAAGATAGATCAATGGAACAGGATAGAAAGCCCAGAGATAAACCCACACACATATGGTCACCTTATCTTTGATAAAGGAGGCAGGAATGTACAGTGGAGAAGGGACAGCCTCTTCAATAAGTGGTGCTGGGAAAACTGGACAGGTACATGTAAAAGTATGAGATTAGATCACTCCCTAACACCATACACAAAAATAAGCTCAAAATGGATTAAAGACCTAAATGTAAGGCCAGAAACTATCAAACTCTTAGAGGAAAACATAGGCAGAACACTCTATGACATAAATTACAGCAAGATCCTTTTTGACCCACCTCCTAGAGAAATGGAAATAAAAACAAACAAATGGGACCTAATGAAACTTCAAAGCTTTTTGCACAGCAAAGGAAACCATAAACAAGACCAAAAGACAACCCTCAGAATGGGAGAAAATATTTGCAAATGAAGCAACTGACAAAGGATTAATCTCCAAAATTTCAAGCAGCTCATGCAGCTCAATAACAAAAAAACAAACCCAATCCAAAAATGGGCAGAAGACCTAAATAGACATTTCTCCAAAGAAGATATACAGACTGCCAATAAACACATGAAAGAATGCTCAACATCATTAATCATTAGAGAAATGCAAATCAAAACTACAATGAGATATCATCTCACACCAGTCAGAATGGCCATCTTCAAAAAATCTAGAAACAATAAATGCTGGAGAGGGTGTGGAGAAAAGGGAACACTCTTGCACTGCTGGTGGGAATGTGAATTGGTTCAGCCACTATGGAGAACAGTATGGAGGGTCCTTAGAAAACTACAAATAGAACTACCATATGACCCAGCAATCCCACTACTGGGCATATACCCTGAGAAAACCAAAATTCAAAAAGAGTCATGTACCAAAATGTTCTTTGCAGCTCTATTTACAATAGCCCGGAGATGGAAACAACCTAATTGCCCATCATCGGATTAATGGATAAAGAAGATGTGGCACATATATACAATGGAATATTACTCAGCCATAAAAAGAAACGAAATTGAGCTATTTGTAATGAGGTGGATAGACCTAGAGTCTGTCATACCGAGTGAAGTAAGTCAGAAAAAGAAAGACAAATACCATATGCTAACACATGTATATGGAATTTAAGGGAAAAAAAATGTCATTTAGAACCTAGGGGTAAGACAGGAATAAAGACACAGACCTACTGGAGAACGGACTTGAGGATATGGGGAGGGGGAAGGGTGAGCTGTGACAGGGCGAGAGAGAGGCATGGACATATATACACTAACAAACGTAAGGTAGATAGCTAGTGGGAAGCAGCCACATGGCACAGGGATATTGGCTCGGTGCTTTGTGACCGCCTAGAGGGGTGGGATAGGGAGGGTGGGAGGGAGGGAGACGCAAGAGGGAAGAGATATGGGAACATATGTATATGTACAACTGATTCACTTTGTTATAAAGCAGAAGCTAACACAACATTGTAAAACAAATAAACCCCAAAAAAAATGTTTAAAAAAAAAAAAAAAAAACCCGACAGAAAAGACCTTTTCTCGGGGTCCAAGGGAGCTGAGAAGAGGAAAGTTGATTCTTAGGCAAACAAAAAACAAAAACACAACTTCTGGAGACCCAGTCAAGAGATGGGTAGAAGACGGTGGTAAGGAGTCTTGAAAGAAACTAGAAGGAAGATCTCAAACCAAAGAAGGCTTTAAATAATATAAGCACCTTTAATAATTACCTTAGAGGTGTTCTAATCTTACCTCTCTTTTAAAGCATGACTAGAGCACAGTGTAAAATGCTAAATGGATGCCATCAGGCCTTGACCCCTTAAACATTCGCATTCAGTTAGTGAAAGAGAAGGTAAAGCAAGAAAGGAGGGAAAATAAAGAAATCAGTAGTTCAGGATGGAATTTTAATTACTCAGATATTGGAAACACATCATCCTTTGAGTGGACCAGGTTTTCCCAGACCGAGTCCAGAGATTATCTTATCTGTTCTGCCTGGGCTTAAAAGAGGAAATACCTAGAAATAAGCAAGTTGAACTATCTAAATCTAGCTCTTCAGTGAGGAGAGGAACAGTTGATCCCCAATCAAGGACTCAATTCAGAGCAGAGTCAAGGGAAAAACGCAACACTAATTTCTGAGGAGCCACACGTCTACTAAACAGAAAGAGGGCAGCTGTTCAACTCCAGCTTGTTTTTGTTTTCTAACCCCTAAGCAAGCAAGGACACACACAGCAGAGGAACAGTTTCCAGTCGAGTCTCTCCACACCCACAAGCAATACTGGTGGAGACAGCACAGAGATCCTGGCAGGCTTCTGATCACACTGTCTTACTCCTCAGCCAAAAGTCCCAGTAGACAGCATGCACCAGGATGTGGAGTGGCTTTTCATTTCTCTTAAAATCATTTTAGTTGGAGCATAGCTGCACAACATATTAAAAAAGACAAAGCTGGGCTCTGAAACTCACTTCTATACCTATAATGTGCTTACCGGTCCAGAACTTTGTTTCTTCACATATTAAAATAATTTGCCTTAAAAACTAGCTGAATGTGAGGGCTGATGACTCAAAAAGAATAAAGAAATAGAACAGGGACATGGTTATGAATATTCGCTTTCTTTGGGGAGTTACATAACTCCTGAGGAACAGTAGAACCTTATGCAATTAATTTTGTGCAAATTACCAGCTATATCAACTTAAGCCTCAAGAATGAACAAGCTGGGTTAGAAGTATTACTCAGCAAGGAAAGTTGTTTTCCAATTCCTCCAACTCTACTTCAAAGAGACCCCCAGTCAAATCCACCTCTAGTTTCAGAGGCCTGTAGGAAAAGCTAGAGTGTGGATTATTCATTTGTTACTTACCCAAATGAATAGCGTTTTCATTAAGTTTTTTTTTAAGTTAATTCTCCCACACAGCTGACAATTATCAAGTCTATTTTTAAACTGTAATAGGCCTGAACCTTCTGACACACTGAAGCCATTTAGTTCTATTAATTCTAGTAAGAGAGCATCTGATAACTACCATCACTGATATTCATCCTCAAACTTAACATAAGTCGTGTGAAATACATGTGCCATTTTCTCTATAAGAATAGTACTTAGTTCTAAATTGTGGGTGCAGCCGGACCTCCGCTTAAGCAGAGAGACTCTGCCTGGTGTTTCAGCACTGTCCTTAAATTCTTTAAAAATCCCTTTTCTAGAGGTGGTGATGCAAGTCCCTTTTTTTTTTTTTTTTTTTTTTGCGGTACGCGGGCCTCTCACTGTCGTGGCCTCTCCCGCCTCGGAGCAACAGGCTCCGGACGCGCAGGCTCAGCGGCCATGGCTCACGGGCCCAGCCGCTCCGCGGCATGTGGGATCTTCCCGGACCGGGGCACGAACCCACGTCCCCTGCATCGGCAGGTGGACTCTCAACCACTGTGCCACCAGGGAAGCCCGCAATTCCCTTTTTAAAAAAATTTCAAATCTGGACTACCTGTGTGAGCATAAAATTTCAATCACTTCCTTCACTCCAACCTGGATGTCACAGAAAGATAAGTAATAGGCTGAAGATAAAGCAATCATCAGATCACTTTAGATTTTATTTCAAAATTATTTTCTTAAACCAAAAACTGGGAACCACCTAAGTCATACGGTAAATGCATATAATGGAATCCTTGCAGACTTTAAAATGTTGAGAGGCACCTACACTAATGCACTGGGTAAAACTGTTGGTATGAACCCATTTGTGTAATAGTTTATCTGTGTTTCTATATACATGGAACTAAGTCCACCAAAATGTTAAAAGTAATCATTTCTGAGAAGATTTAGGGATTTTACTTTCTTCTTTGAACTTTTTTGATTGTATGAACTTTTTCTACAGTCATTTTCTCATAAGGTAAGAAGAAGATATGTACGTACTGACAACCATTTCTTACCTTCTACCAATAAAGATATGCAGAAACACTCACCATTCTGGATTTTATTGTTGCTTCTTGTACAACAGCTTTCAGTATCTACTTTTGCTGAAGACTCCTTTAAATTCTGTGACTGGCAACCTAAAGTTGAAGGTTCTACCTTTTTTTCTACACAACAATTAGGACTATTACTATTGACATCTGCTTTCTCTTCTGGCTTATTTGAAAGGACATCAGATGTGGAAGGTCCACGTTCGAGATGCTTCTGCAGTTCAGGAATACTGGCAATTTCCAGTTCTGCCGTAGAAGAAGCCTTTGTAGGTAAGCACTCCCTAGGAAGGTCAGTCGATGATGGAGGAAAAGATTCCAAGCTGCTTTCCTGGTCAGTGTTTGTCTTCAGCTGGGTATAGCTTCCCTTTGGTTCACTCAGGGTTTTCAAGTCTCCAGCTCCAATCTGAGAGGACTTTGAAGAGAGCAACCCTACTTTGCAGACAACATCTGGTGTTCTCAGTATTTCAGGCTTTGTATTTAGACAGGAAGAAAGTTCTGGTAAAATCTGTTTATGACTTCTGAAAAAGAGTAATATGAAAACTAGCACCTAGGATTCTTTTATCTCTTCCCTACCTTCCAAAAATAATTGCTTGGTTCCCTAAAGTAACCAGTATGAAAGAGAAAAGAAAACCGCTTATATTAGAGAATTTATGATAGGTTTCTGTGGGCTGGAGTTAAAAGTAATCAGTCAATGGCTCTGCAAAAATATATTAAACGCGAAGAAAAAGATAACCCTAAATCCTATTTGCATGTTCTCATAAATCTGTAACTACTTCAAGTTAGTTCTACTTCTCATAGCAAAATGAACCTTAGCTTTCCCTCAGAGCAAACTGAGTATCACACGGAACCCAAATCACCAGCAGCGCAAAACCCTATCTGACTATGAACGTGTCACCAGCCTTAGCACTGGACTATTTCACTCTTGTTTGGTCAGTGATCAAGACCCAAAGCAAAGAGAAGAGCCAGCTGATTACGTACTTGTTCACAGAACCATCTGGTACTCCCTCCACCCCCAATAGGGGTTATCCTTAAAGAAACTTTGTTTCTCTGAAATTCATCCTAAAGCTCTTTCCCCAGCAAAATGCAAAGTCCTTTTTTCCTGTTACACTTGTTTTCCTGCCTCTAACAAAGGATCTCATCCTGGAGAAGCTGTTCTCACTTAAGTACCCATACTAGACATCTTTGCTTGGGTACCACCGAACTTCTTACGGCTCCCTCTTTCTGCTCTGAAGACCACTCCGCCCTCTCTCTGACTGCTATGTGTCCCTCCTCCAAGCTCTCTCCCAAGCAGCCCGCTGTCCTCCCAGTGAGCCGATGTGCTCACCCACCCTCCCACCTTACTGCAGTGGTCTTCCAAGCCTACCTTTCTATACCAGTCTCTGACCCCTATCTTAGGTTTTTATCCACTGCCTGCACAGGCCACCCCTCCTCCTAAGAGATCCTTCCCTTCAAACTTTTCTCTCCATTAACCTTGTAGCCACTTTAAATCTCTGATTAAATTTTACATTTCTTATTATCTTCACCTATAACTTAGTAACTATGCCTCATGACTTAGTATTTTCTCTACTGCCACATTTCTCACCTATACTTGAGGTCTGGGCTGATGAGAACCACTCACTGGAACCCTGTCTCCCTCTTCTCCACACTCCCACTGACCTCAGTCTTCCATATACAACCAATCTGCTCCCTTTTCCTTGAAAGTGGACATTATTCTACAGCTGTCTGTAGTATTTCAATTGACCATTCTCCCTATATCACGTCAAGAAAGCGCCTCTTTCCTCACATCCCTTTCTTTTCTGTAACCCTTTAAATGTTGTCCTGTATGCCTACTACACTTACCACCTCTGAAGGCACCTGACCAACTTGGAAACTCTAACCTCCCTGGACAACCTGAGATACACTGAATGGCAGGTAATTACATCAAATTTTAGCTGCACCAAGAGTCTCTCTATAAACACTCAATGTAGGGTCAGTCTTGCCGCCTGAGCAATGTCAGCTCAGACAGGAAGAACCATGGCTAAAATAACCGTTCTCTGTATTATGATTAAACATTTTTAAATCGTAACTACTCACCCTTGAGGAATTTTTGCTCCAAGGTTAGGTGGAGAGTTGGCAGCCTGGGGAGTACTCTGATGTCTCGGGTCCTTACTTGGCGGAGTTGCTGCAGTGCAGCCGAGCAGTATCTCCTTAAAAACTGTTGTGGGAACAGACTGTACAGGACACACACTGGGAGAGGCCTAAAAGATACCAAACCAAACAGATATTAAAAGGAAAGCCCCTAGTTGAGGCATTACGAAATGCTAGCAAGATTCAAGTTTATTCGCTCGGTTTAGTAGTAAACAAGCACACCAAAATCACCAAATAAAAAGAACAGGACGGTAGAACAAGTAATAAATCACAAATTAAGGACTTATACCTGAGAGCTATTAAATAAGTCATTCCAGCTTTTCACGAAACTTGCGTCTTCCTTTAAAAGATCACAAGCTGATCTTTCAGACCTCTGAATCATTATGCCAGGAAAATGCAGCCACGTGGCAATTACTTTACTAATGCAAGCGCAGAAGGGAGCTTTTAATCAACAGTCTTCAAACGGTGGCAGCTTCACATGCATTCAGTTCGACATTACTAAGTGCCCACCACGCACTTACTGCGTAGACTGGCAGGAGACCAGACCACATAGGACTCTTGCAGGCAGTGGTGCCTACTGGGTACCAACTTAAGCCTTTACAATGCAATAAAGGTTGAGGACATGGTTCTTGCTGGTTTGTGGCTCATCAAGTCACAAGGGTCATCCCAAGCTGCAAAAAATATCAAGTCATGACAGTCCTGTGGGACAAAGTTAGGACACTTGTCCCCTTCCACTTTCGTGTACTTTTAACTTTACAAAAATATTAATAACGGACCAAATTCTTCCCAGTTTATACTATCCAGTTTATACTTTCCCACCATGGAAAGAGAAGGAAGAGATTAAACTCAACTCCAGACAGCTAAACAGTCTATGGCTTAACCAGGTGAAACCCACTGACCATCTTCACCAGCCTCTTCATTATGTGCTTAAATTTAAAGTCACACTGTCCTTTTCAATTGCGTCTCTTTCACACCACAATGACCTTTACATTCACCTTACCAAATCTAAACTTGCAAAATCTTCAAAGTTTCATCTTCTAGTTACTAACTTCTAAAATTTGATGCAGAACCTCCCTGAGTAAATTTTTAAAACCTCACAATTCTGTATACAGACTATGTAGTCTACTCATGAATCTTTTTCGCAGACATTTACTCTGACAGCCTTGAAAATACTGTCTAGTATATGCTAAATACGAATATCTGAAAAATAAGAATTTTCTTAATCACCATTACAGTTTCGGCATAGCTTCCAACTATTTCAAGGTATCAATGCTAAATCATCTGATCGTATATTACACTAGGTTAGCTCAGTTTTGGTTAAATATTAGCAGCCTAGTGTTCCCCAGAAGGATTGTTTGGGGGAGGCTTTGGCTATTACAAGGACACCCTTGGGCTTAGCCAACTTTACATCTCTGGGCCCCAGCTTCCTAATCCTTAAAATGAGGAAATCAGATGTTTTTATTCGTTTTATCCATTGAACTGCTCGAGCCAAAAAACCCTCCAAGTCATTTCCCATACCTGATCAATGACCCAGGAAATCTTGCCTCTATTTCCAAAATGTTTCTGGAATCTATAAATTTCTTTCCAGGCCACCATTACCACCATCTTTCCCCTAGACTACTATGTGTATACTAACTGGCCTGATTCCCTTCCATTTCTGCCTCAAACTTTTGCCTCCTATCTGAAATTTATTCTACCACAGAGCAATCTTTATAAAACATAAATCAATCAGATGGTGGCACTCCACTGCCTCCAAGAATTCTACATGGTCTGGTCTCTGCCAACCCTGCCCCTCATCTCACTCCATTTGTTTACAGTGCTCCAACCATACCAGCTTCCTTTCTGGTCTTCAATGTTCTAAGCTCTTTCTTGCCTGCCCCTTTGTACTCCTATCCCCCCTGTCTGGGCAGTTTTCATGTGGTTGGCTGGTTCCATCCTTCACCCTCAAATCTGCTCAACTGTCGCCTCAGTATCTCTGATCGCTCTTTCCAAAGCAGTGTCCCACAAGCCACTGCCGTACGCTTTATTAGATTGCCATGTTTCTATCTTTCACTGTACTACCACACTGTGAAAATACCTTAAGTTACTTCTTTTTATTGTCAGTCTCCTCACAATGAAAAGTAAACCCCTATGGACACAGACCCTGCTCTTGTATCCACTGTTATACCTTTTAAAGCCAGGCACATAGCAGATGCTCAATAAAAAAGACTGGTGGAATGCATGAATGAATAAATGCTCTTAGCACTTAATATTTCAAAGAGCTACAACTAAGTCTTGTGAGATACCTCAAGAACCAGGCAGTAATGCTCACCAATGTCTAGCACATATTAAGTGTTCAATAAATATTTGCTGGAAAGCAGGATGGAGGAATAGAGGGAAGGGAGGAGGACTCTGCTGTTTTTACAATGGTGCCTCACCATACCGAGGAAAGGTTTTGTAGAGGAGTGGCAACGACAGCACGGTGGCTAAGAGCACTGGGTTTCGGTGTTAGACCCTGGTTGGAATCCAGTCTCTGACACTTCCTAGCACATTCTTTAACCTCTCTAAGCTTCAGTTTCCTCCATCATAATGAGGAGTAATGAATTACAGTAATGAGAAAAAAGGAGAGTAATGAAGCATACTGTACAGGGCTGTGCTGTACCACTAGTGCCTGGCACACAGATTAGCTGTCTCAAAGCAGGAAAATACCCTGAAAAGTTTCTCGGTGCAGTCACCATGTGTTAGAATTACCATAACCTGGATGCTTTTCCTTTAAGAAGATGAAGTATATCACTCTACAACTTTACTGAGGTTTAGCTCAACAGGGATAGGGCTCCGATTCCAAAACCCATCTCCACGTGCACACCACTGCATTGGCCTCTGACTTGACAAGGGTCAAAGTTTCTTCTTACCTGAAGAGTTTTCCCTGAAGGTCTTCTATACCAGTCATGGCAATAGTTCCTCCCTGCCAGCAGACGGAGATAATATAATTGAGCGTATAATGATATTCCAGAAAGGACACTGCTGGCTCACACTCCTTAGCAGACTCTCTCAATTAACCAGGCAACGTCCTAACTCTGAGGAATAGTCTGCTAGGCAGAGAAGACCTTCAAGGAGCCAGATGTTACTGGCAAACAGGTTTACCTTATCCAAAAGTATTCATCCCAGCAATCAAGAGTGTTATCAACCTCAACCTAAACTCCTGTCATCCAAAGAGCACCAAACTCTTTGCCAGTCCAACACATCTGGAAAGTGCAGACACAGTGAGACGTGCACCAAGTGTGTTACTGTACTCACCTTTCACTCACACATGTAAATGAACTCTCCTTCTTTCCCCACTTCTTCCTTTACCTCTCCATCTCCCCTGAAATCTAGGCTAGGCCAGTGTTTCCAAAAACTTGCCTGATTGCAAGGATCACCCAGGATATGGAAAAATATTCACAATATACTGTAAAGGAAGCTACACAAGAGTATGGCTTTTAGTTTACAAAAAAAAAAAAAAAAAGCCTCCACGGATATACAGGAAAAAGAAAAAGAAAAAAAAACAGGAGGAAGACAGGTATTCCAAAATGTGAATAGTGAGAGCCTCTGAAAAGTATGATTATGAGTGATGTTTCTTTTCTTTACCATGCTTTTCTGGGTTTCCTAAATATCTTTAAATGAGAATAACTTTTTTTAAAATGTAAGAATCTTTATTTTGAAAACAAGTGCAATATAAAAGGAGAATAACTTTTATAATTAAAAAAATAATAATAATTTCTAAAACGTCAATACTCAGGTAAAAATTTACCATCTCCAAATTCCTTTAGAATGTGAAGGTGACTAGGATAGTTCTTAAGAGCTGAAACAGACATTTTTTTAAACATCAAATTTATTTCCACATTTTAGATGCTGAAGTTAAGGCTCAAATAGGTTGAGGAACTTATCTCCCAACCAAAGTTCAGGCTTTTTGGAAAAACAGCTTCTACTGTGTCCAGTAATCAGTAGCACACAAACCTACTGAGCTGGACAGTATGCTGACAGAGAGCAAAGACACAAGCTCCCTGCCCTTCAAGAGCGTGAGTCAGGAAGACAGGATCACTTACATACGTATATGTTACCATATTTTACAAGCACCTCCTTCAAGGCTATAAATTTATTTGCTCAATTGCCTATCACATCACGGATAAACTTGACACTTTGAAGAACTGGCACCTTCCCCAACAGGAGGTCCCCACTGACCCCAGTCCTGCTTGTACCCCAGGCTGATTTCTCCATGATCCATCAGGATGCCATTTCCTCGGGTCTGGTCCCCACCTCAATATAACATCATGTGGCTCTCCTTTTCATCTTACTGAATGTCTACAGTGATGCCTTCTCCATGACAGGCAACATGCAATCAACTTCTCCAAACTGCCCTTTATCACCTCTACGCACTGTTAACAATTTATCCAGAACAAAACCTGACAGGTTACCATTCTGTTGTTTCTCTTTCAGCTTCTAATACCATGGATTACTTGACAGTATCCCCTGTGAGTCTGCCTCTAAGAGGCAATAATCACTTGCCTGACATCCTCAATTTACAGTCCTTACTACATTACTTCCCCTTCATAAACTTTAAGGCAAAATGAAAAGGTAGTAATGCTAATTTCCGTAATTACCTCTTCATTCTTTCCTGAACCACCTGAGGTCAAGCCTGCACATTTGGAAGGAAGACAGAGGTATCAGACATCCTGGTTTACAAAGTTTCTCATCAAGTATCAAAGTTCCTGTGCCCTGTACATAGGCTTAAGACTCAGGAAAGCCAATCATCTTAGCCACCCAGATTCTTTAGTATTTATGTAGCATGTGCTTGCTTTGGTTCTAGTTGATGTTGTAGTCCAGCCTGCCCTGATCCAGAGCCTTAGATGCATTCACTGACCCTGACCCATTCTCATGCCATCTCTCCTTGCCCTGCCCCCACCCATGCTCCAAAGTTCCCTCTACAATGCTGCCAACAATCTTAACAATATCCACTTGATCAATTTTAAAATTCTAAACTCCAGGGACTTCCCTGGTGGCCCAGTGGTTAAGACTCCGCGCTCCCAATGCAGGGGTCCCGGGTTTGATCCCTGGTCGGGGAACTAGATCTCGCAAGCCACAACTAAAGATCCCGCATTCTGTAACTAAGGCCTAGTGCAGCCAAAGAAATATTTTTAAAAATAAATAAATAAAATAAAATAAAATTCTAAACTCCAGCCTGGAGCAGTGCATCATAAAGGCGTTTTTGACAATTATAACACAGTAAACTTTCCTTGTAACACAAGTGCATTCGGATACCTAAGTTGTGAGAAAGGTAATCTGTACTGTCATAGGACCTAAGGATTCAACTCAATTAAAAAAGAAAAAGCCTTAAGTTTCTTTTTTTCCCCCCAGATTTCAAAATTTGACCCTGTCATTTATACCCTCCCTTGAGAAGTCTACCCCAGTCCCCCATCCCCTCATTAGGCTAGTCTGTCTAGCCTAATCTTTGGGGAATTCTGAATAAAATTGCCCCATTGTGTACACTGTGATGTCCTGAAGACATGTACGAGTAATTACAAAGCATAATAAATTAGGGAATTTGACCTAGTCTGGGATATAGGTTACAATGATTGTAGAGATGTTAGGTATGGCTTCCTGGAGGAAGCAACATCACATCAGGAAGATAAATGGGAGTTAATTAGAGTGAAGCTAGGATTAGAAGAGAAAGGAGAACAGTGAGTCCTAAGGCTGGAGAAAGCATGAGGACTTGAAGAGCTAAAGAAGGCCAGCTTCTCTACAACAGGGAGGAGAGGGAAAAGCTGAGAGCCTTAAGTTTCTTGATCCAAATCCTATTTCAGGATAGAATTAAATCCAGTACTTGAACTCAACAGTGCCATTCACAGAAGCCTGTAGTTTTCCAGGCAGAAATTAGCAATGGCAAACCAACCACTTCCTTCAAAAAGTGAGTATGTTTGTTCACCCAATCATAAATGACCAATCAAACCTCTCAATTATTGAGGTGGGAGTCCTATTTCAACACCAAATCTACTCAGAATTCTAAGCTTCCTCCCCTCCTCTCATGCAAGGCATTCTTCTGATTTGACACACACAACTCAACTGATCTTCAAAAATACCTCCATATGGTGAAACTGTCAAATCTATTGACAATTTTCAGGAAACATCAAAACTAAAAGCTTTTTCTTGACAAAAATAGTGAACCAGAAACTTATATTATCTCCATCTGCTTGAGTAGAGAAATTACGGCCAAGATCTGGGACTAGCGAAGAGCAGACACAACAGCACAGAAGAGCAGAGCGGACAGCTTTACTACCACTAAACAAACTGGCCATGCACTGTGAGAGTTAGAGAAAGGTTTACACAAGTGACAAAAATAAATCAAGGTTACCTCAGAGCAAGATTTTGCTTGTTTGGAAACCAGGCTTCCATTATTCTCAGAAGATTTGCGTTTTATAGCCCCAATTCTTGTAGAATTACCTAAAATATTTAAAAACAGGTAAGTTGGTGTCCCTGTCTCTCTTAATGTGAGAAGGATAAAGGGGAAAGGAGAACAAAGATTTTAATCAAACAATGTATCTTACCACATGTCACAAAGTTATCATGTACAACTTCAACATGAATCAGTGACGGATCGACAATTTTCAGTGCTGGAATCTTAAAAACAAATAAATAAAACAAAGATACTAGGAAATTTTAAAATGCTCAGGAACACACCAGAAATTAGCTCTATCAACATAACAGTAGGGGCTTCTAGGACTTCCCTGGTGGCGCAGTGGTTAAGAATCCGCCTGCCAATGCAGGGGACACTGGTTCGAGCCCTGGTCCGGGAAGGTCCCACATGACACGGAGCAACTAAGCCCGTGCGCCACAACTACTGAGCCTGCGCTCTAGAGCCCACGAGCCACAACTACTGAGCCCGCATGCCACAGCTACTGAAGCCCGCGTGCCTAGAGCCCATGCTCCACAACAAGAGAAGCCACCGCAGTGAGAAGCCCACGCACCACAACGAAGAGTAGACCCTGCTCGCCGCAACTAGAGAAAGCCCGTGCACAGCAGTGAAGACCCAATGCAGCCATAAATTAATTAATTAAAATTTATTTAAAAAAACAAATAATAGGGGCTTCTTACATATAATTGCTTTTTAAAATAATAGTTTTTTTATACTCTGATATTTTAATATAAAATAATAAAGGTGTTTAGCTCCTATAAGATACTATAATTCCTTTTTATAATTATCTTTCCCTGTCAAGTTATCTTACACACAATTATCATCATCCTTACCTCCTCACAGTTGACTTGAAGAGTTTTTGATGTTGGGTTTCCATTTACAATGGTTGCAGAAAACCACTGAGTAGATGGGTCCAAGCTATAAATTTTAACTTCTGAACCAACTAAGTTTTTGTCACCTTAAAAAATAAAAATTAAAAAAAATCCTTAGAGCAATATGCATTATCTCCCAACAGCACCATTATCCAGGATAATCTTTTCCCAAGTCTTTAAAAATGCAGTAGACAAAAAGTAAACATTAAAAGGTACTGCTATAAATGCAAGAAGACAGACATTTCAGCAAAGCTAGGAGAAAATTTAAACTGTCTATTTTAAAGCTTCACTTTTCTATTGATTTATCTTAGACTTGCAATATATTTCTTCTAGTATTTGTATCAGACCATGTAGTATCAGATAACACATTGAGATGTAACTCATTCTCCTATGCAGAGTTTTAGAGGATCCAAATTCAGGAACCTCAGCAAAACTGCTAAGTCTGATAAAATACTTACAATTGTGAAACTGACCAAGAAAATCAATAACAGTAAATGGCAAGATCAAGCTTACCAAATTAATGCTTTATTAATTTTATAAGACTGAAATTCCAAACATATCAAATTCCACGTCAAAATATAGCTGAGCTTGTTTAATACCTACTTCACTTTTATAGTCTTCACATGACCCCTGAGCTCTCCAAATTTCAGAGGCTTTAGAATACATTACAGAATAAAGTCCTCCACTCATCTAGTTGCATGGGAAAAGCAGCAAAAGAATTTCTAACAAATTAGAATTTTTAATGAGCAAATGAGTGGGAAGGGCTAAAACATAGCTTCTTACCTTGTAAAAGATGGCTTTCATCCAAATGTTTCACAATCAAAGCTTGAAATTCTTTACTGACATTCTGATTATCGATAAGTGAAAGTCGAAGATTGTTTACATCCTGAAAAATGGAAAATCATTACATTTTAAGGTAACAAGAAGAGTTGTTTAAATTCCAGTGGATATTTCGATCAGTTTAATCACAGGGATTAAAGTAGTGTCAATTAGCCATTTGATGGCAGCAAACCATTGCAACTCCAATGAATTAGACTGGTCAAATAGTAGGAAACCATCAAACCATCACAAATATAAGGCAGACAGAAGTGAAGTCACCCCAAGCTAAGAGCAAGACAGATACTAAGAGTGGCTCAAATTTTAAATATAATAAGCAAACAAACTAGCTAGTCAGTTCATCTCAAAAATACTCTGTATCCCAAACTCTATGGATTAGGGAAATCACAGCTCCAAATGCAAGGGGCAAAGGACACATACACAGAAATCACTTAGATCCATAGTGTCAATTCATTGAAATTGCTGTTTTTAACAAACATCATTTCACACAGATTCATTTCCCCTAACTAGAATTCCAAATGCATTCTTGTTTAGGAAGGGGGGCGTGGGGAGGAGGAAGGACAAAATCTGAATGAATAGCGTTAAGCCTTCAGCTAGCCAGCTTTGAAACATTCAATTCTTGGCAGCTCTATTTTTGGCACTATTCCACAGTGCTCTGGCTTTGTGTGTACACTCAGTTATGATAAATGTATACAGACTGTCAATAGGAGGAACCTGCCAAACCCAAACTGCATAGCACAGAAGCCCTTCCAATATCAGGCCTTCATACTTTTCTGCATGTGAAATGGGTACACAGTGGCCAAAATTAGTTCATCCATTTCTCCCATTGGAAAGAACAGTCTTTTAGAGAGGCCATGCTGGAAAAATTTCTTAAGCCAAATAACATTAGACTTGAACTACGGGTTTCATAAGAGCTCAACATTAATAACCAGAACGGGCCATGTGTTTTGTTTTGTTTTGTTTTCATGCTACTGCAATTTCAAAAAATTTAAATGTGTTCTCCAATTCCTACTACAAGGTAAAATACCACGTCAGTGGGGCGGGCCACAAAGGGCTCTTAAATAAATAAAACTTACTGACCTTTTCCAACCTCAAGAAACAAAACTGAAAAGGTTAAACACATGAAAGATATAAAACAGAACTGTCCCGAAAACAATGCTAAGAAGTAAAAACTGCTGTGCTGCTCAGTGGAGCAGACATCCACAGCCCCTGCTGTATGTTCCTTGGTCCTTAAGAGCAGTCATTCTGCCTTTTAATGTAGGAAAAATATCAAGATGCCTATTTGACATATAAAGATAATTTGTGTCTGCAATTAAGTAAAAGCATCTTCCTCTGTTCCATTTACTAAACATTATAAAATAGGGTTCAGAGTGTGAATCTTGTTTTCACTCACTTTGAGGACATGGAAGTAAAAGTAAGACTTGCGTAGAGAAAAGTCAATGCCAAGGCCCAGCAATGGCAATGACCCTTGGTCCTAAACTGTCTTTCAGCAAATAAACTGGTTTAATTGTCCTACAGGCCATAGAAACAAGTCAGGTCACAAAACAGAAGTGGGTAAAGGGGATGACTAAGCTTCACAAATGACATATAAAAAAACAAGTGTTAGGGCTTCCCTGGTGGCGCGGTCGTTGGGAGTCCGCCTGCCGATGCAGGGGACACGGGTTCGTGCCCCGGTCCGGGAAGATCCCACATGCTGTGGAGCGGCTGGGCCCGTGAGCCATGGCCACTGAGCCCGCGCGTCTGGAGCCTGTGCTCCCCAGCGGGAGAGGCCACAACAGTGAGAGGCCCGCATACCGCAAAAAACAAAAAACAAAAAAAACCAATGTTATCATAAGACCAACATTATTCCCAAGGTAGTGATCTGTGGCAGTAATCTGTGTGATCTTCCCCTCCCTCCCAACATTTTTACAATAAAGGAAAAAAATCACACACGAGCAAGAACCAAGAGCCTAAATGTTGTGAAGAAAAAGGAGGGAGTTCTGCAAGCTAATTGGAAAGAATATGAATGAACACACACACACACACACACACACACGATTCACACTGTTTGTGGTAGTTATGTTAAGTCACCACAAACACTGAATTAGTGAATACTGAACCATTCCTAGGGGAACGATGGGGTTAGGTTCCTTCAAGCCTCTGGTCACAATACTGTCGTCAACCAATCAATACATAAGCTTGTTTTATGTGTTTCTGTTGAAAAACACATTATTTAGTATATATTGCTGCAATACTAACCTCGAACCCATGGCCACTATACCTCACGGCTGAATGAAGCTTATCTAACACATGTATTTTCTCCCTAAGACACATCACAGCCTCCTTGCGCTTAGGAACACTAGAGAGCACTTCAGCACTACCCCTGGGGCCATTTTAAAGAGTGAAATCACCAACGAAAAAGCACAAAAATGCAGTACTAAATAGGCCTTGAAAAGGACGCTTGTTTACATGAGAAGAGAGGAAGTAAGAAGGCAGAATGTCACCTTATTCAACCTCAGCTGGGAACATGTGTCAGACAACTGAAAATTTTCACCACTCTGCACATGTCTGTGAATGACCATGAAAGCACCAAAGTACTGACTGGGGGGTTACAAATATATTTTAGCAAGTAAGCAAGTTCCCAAATACAGAATCCTTAAATAATCAGGACATATATATATATATATATACACACAGATATATGTATATATATGAATGATAGTCTTAGAAATGATCTTCATATCACCTAGGTGTTTCTATACACACACATCATCAACTGTAGTACGTTTGTCCTTCCAACCCCAAATAAACAGTACCAACCCAACGGCTAACACTGAGAAATGATGTCTGACAACTTAACTGCTCATAAGATGGGTCCTTTTCTCTGTTAGATATCTGAATGAGGGCAATCAACATCAACGTGTTAGTTCTCATATTAAAGGAGTCTGTCTTTCTATTTTTAGGGTTTAATATTGTTTCCGTGTTTTACCTGTATAGGCTTTAAAAGGTCTTTAGAAAGAAATACTCTTTGTTGATCTCCTAAAAAGCGAACAGACGTTATGGATCCCAAACCAGCTTTGTCCAGCAGAGGTCTGTACATCTGAAACAGAAGAAGATGTTCTGGCATCGTAACTGCTGCAGCGTAATTCTGAAAACGGGGACTGGCAATATTCCATACACGTGGAGCCATTCAGTCGTTTATTTACTACCAGTACCTCAATAATAACTATTCATGCAACCACAACAGGAGCACGTAATTTCTACCCAGAATCAATAATTTAAATGCGATACACATTTGAGAGTCATTAACATATAGGTCTGGGGCCACAGATGCATGGCTTCCCCCAAATTTATGCAAAATATTGCTTTATGTACATTTTTGTGGGGAGACAGGGCCATGTTTTTAGCAAATTCTTAATAGATGGGGGAAAAATACAAAGAGCAAAATACAACTTTAAACAAAACCCGACACCACTCAAAAATCTCCAGCAGCTCTTCTCACCCATGGGCAAAATCTTAACTTTGCTCATACGGGCATGCAGGCCCTTTACAAGCTGGTCAGCCTTTCAATCATCCTCTTAGCCTTTCAACTATCCAATCTGCCCCTTCCTCCTTCAAGCCCCAGCTCATGTCTCAAATAGTCTGAACTGTCCTCTCCTGATCACTATTTTCCTTTAACTGCACCAGACTTATGGTGTGGAAATGGCACAGTCATATACTGACTGCTAGCATCTTTAAAGCCAAAGAAATATGAGCCAGAGGGAACCTTAAAGATCATGAGACCCAAAGTGGAAACCCTTACAGGGGCCAAGCAACAGCTACTTTTCAGCTTCAGCCTACTGTTGCGACAAGGAATTGCTATGAGGCTCCAGTGTTGCCATATCTTGCCATTTCTCCAAGAAAAACTGGAACTCTAGATTTTTAAGGACATTCTCTACATTTTTTAAATGTAGACAACTAATTTAGATTTTCTTAAAACACTGTGAGGGTCAAACCAAAAAGATCTGTATGTCTGTATATATCTGCTGGTTCCTAACCACTGACCTAGACTAGACGTTCCCCACATGACCTCCACCCCCAACTTTTCAAGTGAAGAAACTGAGGCCCAAGAAAAGTCAAGGGTCAGAGTTGCAGGGCTCCTAGCAGGGCTGACAGGAGGTTCTGGGGGGTTTTCTGAATCTTCTACATTGTCATATCTCTGTACTATTATTTTCCAGAGGACCAAATATAGGCATTACGTATAGATCTTCCCTGTTTCATTCCTAATGGGTGAAATACCCTCTTCTCAGGAGTTCAAATAAGCCCGAGTTTTACTCACTATCGCAGGCCACTGAACAATTCGCTCAGAAACTTCAGGAGACTTTCGTTCAGCCAAAACCAAGTTATGTTCCACTAAAAAGGCTCTCCTTAGAAGGCTGTAGACGTCTATCCATCTTCTCTTCCTCCAAGATTCCCCATCAAACTCCACACACACCTAAGACAAACAAAATTGAAGGAAAGCAGACTTGATTAACAAAAATAAACATGAAAAATGCCTAAGTTGAATTATACCCTCACCATTCTACTCGAGTCTTGTATCTGAATACGCTGCCCCCGACTCCTGCTCTCTTACTTCCCTTCTAAACCCACAATAAACTAACCAGATCTGTTAGAACCAACAAGCTTTGGCTCCCAAACCACTTTGGGAAGCAGAGTCAAGGGATATGGAGACCAGTCTCTGCCCTCAAAGTAACCTCTGGGAAGCCTTAACAAAAAAGAACCCCCATGTAGAAGGTTTTTACATATGTTAATTAGACATCAGAGCTTTGAGAATTCAAAGACAGAAATCTGAAACCCAAAGTACTTCTCGCAGGGCATTGTAATTCTATGTTGACATTGTCAGTGAGTTTAAGATGACCGCCCATCAACACAATCCTCCACTGGCTTCTGAACCCCTCTGGTAGCAGCAGGACTCAGCACCAGGCGCTTTCAACACTTTGAGTTGAATAAACTGGGAAATTTACCTCAGAGTTTGAAATCCAAGACAACTTTGCTACATATAGAAACAAGTAATTGATAAAGGACCCCAGAATTTTCCAAAACTACCTCTAACTTCTTACATGAAAATTAAACTACCTTTGAAATACTATTTTCCAAGTAACTATGAAGTTTTCTGCTTCTGATCTGCAAAATACCTTTTAGCCCTAAAGCTAAAACCCTTATAATTTGTACAGATATTTTAAAACATAAAAAAAGAATTCAGTCCAAAAGTGGGTCTCTGACAGTAACCCATAAGTAGGAATCAGTCACAAAACCTTAAAAGTCATATAAATGTACCAAACACCTTAGCTTCCTTAACCCATTATGAATACGCTACCGTTTCATTTACTCTAAGTCTTTTAAAATGTTTCTTATGTTTTAACTGAGATACAATAAACTCTCTCAATATTCAGTGTAAAAATCACTATTTTGGGCTTCCCTGGTGGCGCAGTGGTTGAGAGTCCGCCTGCCGATGCAGGGGACACGGGTTCGTGCCCCGGTCTGGGAAGATCCCACATGCCGCAGAGCGGCTGGGCCCATGAGCCATGGCCGCTGAGCCTGCGCGTCCGGAGCCTGTGCTCCGCAACGGGAGAGGCCACAGCAGTGAGAGGCCCGCGTAACGCAAAAAAAAAAAAAAAAATCACTATTTTAATTTGATTTAAAAGCTCTCCTCTTAATAGAGTGATGTCTCATTTTTGGTTTCAAAGAATTAGTTAATAAATCTATCAACATTCCATAATTTCATAGGCAATCATATCTCCCTTTTCAACCTTTAACTTAAAAAAGTTTATTTAATTTCCATTTATTCATCAGAACCCAATTCAAAAATCCTTTCCTCAAGCCTTCCCTTACCAAAGAGCCCCTCTCTCTCCCAAGAGAAGTCCCTTGCTAATTGTACTCAAAACTCTGTACTCTTCTTTTGTAGCACTATTCCACATTTTGAATTATTTATTTGTGGTCAACTGATTGACATACTAAAAACTCTAATCGGTCAAAGTCTGTCTTCTTTAACTTACCATGTATTTCATCAGTCAGTACTCGAATACTTGTTGAATGAATAAATTTCTCTCCGAATTGGGCTCTTACCTTGTTTCTCTCATCCATTTGGAAGGCAGGAAGTTCCCAACTGATATACCACTAGCCTCAATCCCAAACTTTTCCAGTTTTATGGCTATAGACTATCAATCTTTAAAATCAATGAAATTTGAGACCCATCCTATCCTTCTCCCCCAACCACAAAATATGCACCCCTAATTTCCCAGGCAACTTCCCCTGAGAAGCTGCATATCTTCTTGGTATGGCAGGCTTTTAACCTTGCAGTTATTACAGAATAAGTGTAAATGTGTTAAGCACCTACTATGTGACAAGGCCCTGCGTACTCCACCTTGGTTCTATGTATTCCATCACCATAATCAACCAGTGGTCCTTCACATCGGGCTTCAGAGACTGCCCATCTTCCTTTCTGTTTGCCTAGCCACAGAATCCAGGGCTTCTGACATCTCCCCTAGTCTTTGTGCCCCACAGCACATCAACCTCAAACCCAACTTAGCTTTGGATGACAGTTTTCCCATCAACGTAGTATAAGAGGAATGCACATCTACACACATCAGAATCAGAGAGATCTGGGTTTGAATACCAGCTATGTTGAAGCTTTCTTAGAATGATTTTACATGCATAAAATAAAATATGTAGGATTACAAAGGAAACCAATTAACTGTACCCAGGTCAAAAAGCTAAGCTCTCTGAATCTTGTGTTCTGGTAGCTTCAAAATGAAAGTACTAAGACCCACCCTTCACTGAATTGTTACGTAGATTTTAAAGGCAATTTATGTTAAGTATCTGGCAAGGAGACTAGGTAGGTTTTTTTTTTGCGCTACGCAGGCCTCTCACTGTTGTGGCCTCTCCCATTGTGGAGCACAGGCTCTGGACGCGCAGGCTTCAGCGGCCATGGCTCACAGGCCCAGCTGCTCCGTGGCATGTGGGATCTTCCCGGACCGGGACACGAACCCGTGTCCCCTGCATCGGCAGGCGGACTCTCAACCACTGCGCCACCAGGGAAGCCCGAGACTAGGTAGTTTTAAGACCTCCGTGGTAATTCAAATCTTAATTTATCAGAGTATCACTTCTTCAGTTAGGAATGGGAGGAGGAAGACTTCAATATGATTATCTAACATCTACTCAGAAAAAAAGTAATCTAAGATCTTAAGTGGCTTCCCAAAACGTATGCAATATCACAGTTCTTATCATATCTATAAGCTATCTATAAAGCTTATGATCAACCCTAAACCAAATTTTAGACAAGGTGCCTCTTTATATCTCAATTATTTTAATATAAATTTATTTATTATTTACTTTTGGCTGCATTGGGTCTTCATTGCTGCACACAGGCTTTCTCTAGTTGCAGCGAGCGGGTGCTACTCTTTGTTGCGGTGCATGGTCTTCTCACTGTGGTGGCTTCTCTTGTTGCAGAGCACGGGCTCTAGGCACGCGGGCTTCAGGAGTTGTGGCACATGGGCTCAGTACTTGTGGCTCACAGGCTCTAGAGTGCAGGCTCAGTAGTTGTGGCGCACAGGCTACGTTGCTCTGCGGCATGTGGGATCTTCCCGGACCAGGGCTCGAACCCGTGTCCCCTGCATTGGTAGGCGGATTCTTAACTGCGCCACCAGGGAAGTCCCTATATCTCAATTTTTGAGTAATCTGAAAATTAAGTTTAGTTCTTTAAAAATAAATAAATTTAGTTTTTTAAAAATAAATAATAATACTTTGAAGTATTAGGTTGTGTTGGTCAAAACTTCACATTTAAAAAGATGACTTTTAAGGGGCTTCCCTGGTGGCGCAGTGGTTGAGAGTCCGCCTGCCGATGCAGGGGACACGGGTTCGTGCCCCGGTCCGGGAGGATCCCACATGCTGCGGAGCGGCTGGGCCCGTGAGCCATGGCCGCTGAGCCTGCGTGTCCGGAGCCTGTGCTCCGCAGCGGGAGAGGCCGCAGCTGTGGGAGGCCCACATACCGCCAAAAAAAAAAGATGACTTTTGAAAAAATATAATAAAACCAACAAGTTGTGAGCTTTCTTAAACATTCTTTAAAAAGTTTCCTGTTTATCATAACTACATATCTTTCATTTGTGCCTTGAGGTCTGAAGTTCTATATATAAGGACACACCCCACCCCCCACCCCCCGGCACCAAAAGCCTCTTTTACAGAAATTTCTATTTAAGAAAAACAACGGTTAAGAATTCAAATTCAGGGGGAACTAATGTGATTTGACCAAGCTCCTGCAAAGTGACAGATACGACTAGTTCTCATTCTAAATGGTGTTCTTTCCTCCACCATCCCTTGGTCCACAAAGGAGATGTTATCTGTGCTGTCTGACTCCAAAAGCCAGGAAAAGGCCTATTAGTTACAACTTACTACCTATAATTCCCAAATTTCCTATTTAAAAAATAGGGCATTTTGTAAATACGTGCCTATTAGCTTATAAAATTTCTTGACCAGATGTTGGATATTTCAAGTTAATTATTTCAAGCTGTTCTTCCCAGAAAGATAAATCTCTTTCCTTTAAGATATATGAATTAATATTATCTAATCAAGCTAATCTCAAAACCTCCACTTTTAGTATACACTAATCTTACCTAAGTATACGATTTTGAAAACTATCAGAATGGCCAAGTAAAATGCTTCCAAGTTTAAAAGTAGGCACTTACACAATGGCATGGTTTTTAATCACGAAGTTCTTAATGACATATCTACTCTATGCCCAGTACTACGGTACAGAATATCACTTATTTCACTACTTCACAAATTAGGAATTAATTCATTATACTTCTATTTATGTCTTCTTACACCTAGACTCTTATCTAAAATCCCAGAGTCTAGCATTCAATTATAGGGGTAAACACTTTTTATTATTACACTGTGCTAAGTTTCTCATTTTACATGGGTTGACTGTCAACAGAATCCACCAACATTCAAGTTTCAACTGTATGCAAGGATGAAAAAACTAGGCATTGATTGGTCAAGGTATCCAATTGCCAAAAAGGGCTTTAACAGCAGAAAATGGTACATATAGTTGGCAAGTACTACTCACCTGCTAAGGACATCCCGAAGAACTAAGAAGGGGCAGAAGACTCAAGGAAAACGTAGGTTCAAAGCAAGGAAAAGACTTAGACAAACAAGTTGGGGAAGGAGGGCATTCCCAGCATGCGTAGAACAAAGCCAGTTAAGAAGCAATCTGCCTCACACTGAAGTAAACAGAGTAGCATAAAAATAAGGTTAAAGAAGTCCTTATAATCACACCTAATTAAGATCTGTTGTTATCCAAGTTAAAGAGAATGCCAATGCTCCATCGGAAGATAATTTCTGAACAGCTTTTCTATATACGAGTAATAATTTTATGATTCCTTCATCTGTTCAAATATTTTAGCAAAAACTACATGCCAAGCAATGTTCTCAGTGCTGGGGATACTGAACCCAGCAAAACAGAGTTGCTCTAACCTCACTCTATCTGAATATTAAAGCCTAGTGTTTAAGGTCTGGGGACAAACTTGGGCAAGTTATTTAACTTGTTTAAGCCTCAATTTCTAACACTAAAAAATGTGGTTTACTATCTAGGATTTTTGTGAGGATTAAATAAAAGTATTTACTGCATGATAAGTATCTATTATGTCTTCACCTAACTTCTTTGTAATCAACTACTAAACATTGTATCTGAGTAAGTGACTTTGTTACAGTCTTTCTCTAGATGAAACAAATCTATTATGTCTTCAACTAACTTCTCTGTAATCAACTACTAAACATTGTATCTGAGTAAGTGACTTTGTTACAAAGTCTTTCTCTAGATGAAACAAAGTTAACAAGCCTTGGTCTCATTCATTTCAACCTCAACTAAGGAAGCAAGTCAGTCTAGACAGACTTGTACTTCTATCAGTACTAAAACAGTTGCACACTACTTGAATTTCATTCATTCATATTCATTGCAGCCCCCCCAACCCACTCCCAAAAACTCAATATCCCTAAGCCCAGGTCTTAGGCATTGTCTTAGTTACTCAGTTCCTGCCTGCAACTGGCCAAACACAATAGGTTTCAATGTTTCAAAAACTGTGTTTTTGCTAACACAACATATCCTTAAACTTACACCAATTACTTTATCTGCTACTCAGTTAAGGAATGCAGCAATAAATCATGATTCGAAAAGAGAAACTGAGTAGATTTCTTACATGAAGGCTGAGTTGTGAAGTCTGTAGGTAAAGCAAAAAATCCACTACAGTCAAAATTGTTTTTGAATTAAAATCCCTGTCGTCTCCAGGTTAGGCACCTTAGTGCAGTGGAAGACACACATAGCCAAACTTGGATTCCAATGCTCCCTCTGTCACTTAGTAGCTAACTATGCAAGTCTGGACAAGATTTCCTTTCCTAAATCTATTTCTTTATTCTGAAAATGAAGATACCACCACCACTTCAAAGGCTGGGGGTGGGGGAGATGTGGAGATTTAAAAGAACACACATAAAGGACCTCCTAGGTTCCCTTCCTAACCCAACAGGTCTGCAATCACTGCTGAGTAAGGAAACACCTAGTCTCTCATCACCTGCCAAAGAACTAAAGACTGTAAGGATTAATCTTGTTTCCACTCAAATCGGGTAAAAACAAATGCACTAGAGAAAATTTTACTTGGCAGGTGAAGTAAACCGCCGCAACTATGACTGAAATCTACTACACAAAGCCCATTTTATTGAGAAAGATTATTAGCCTAAGCAAATAGGCTGTAGCACATTACCTTCTTTCTGTAAACATCAAAACGCACCTTGCTAGGAGTGAAACCAAATTTCACAGTGTACAACAGGAGTCCTCTGGTGGCAGAGCCTTTGATCAGGGAGCACGATGATTAAGAAGGTGGGCTCAAGGGTCAAAACTTTCTGGGTCAGAACACAGGTTATGCCAATTCCTTGAACAGTGTTTCAGCAATCAACACATATTCAACTGCCAATGCGAAAACCTGCTTCCCTTATTTGAGCAGTTTTCAAGAAAAAGCAAGGATAATGACCAAGTGAAGATACTGAAACATATCCGTTACCCAGGATGGAAAGCTCTTCTGTTCTGACAAGCTTCCTTCAAGTTATCACCACTTCGGAGTCTTTGTTGGGGACCTTTTTTCAGTTATTTTTGCACAAAGGAGTCTTTGTTGGCACAATGGCTTCCTCACTGGTAGTTTCCACACAATCCTTTCACACCAATACTTCTATTAGGGAGTACGATCAGAATTCATCTCTTTTTGAAAAGATCTAACTGAAAAAGGTTCTGCGTGTCATTCTGATTAAAAATCACTGGCCGCACTCGTTCCCATTTCTCTCCCTCCCCTCAAACACCCAAATGGAATATTTCAAAGCCATCCCTCCAACACACCATATAAGGGGCAGCTCCACCCCAGCCCTCCATATATGGTCATATCCCACACCCACTCACAGACTCATCAGAGACAACCAGGAACCCACTCCTGCCCTGACCCACCATATACGGACAAATACCCACCTTAATATACTGAAGAGAATTAAGCTCCTTCCTCTACACTCACACTTCTAAGTCTGAAAGTTTAAGAAGTTGGGTGAAGAAATTAGAAGGAACAAACAAAAAACCCGACTGAAAGCACTTCTAAGCACTAGTGCTCAATTCTCAATGATTCCAAACGTCACCCACTTGCCCAACTTAATATTAACAACACTCCCCCTTCGGAGAAATCATCGTACAGCCCTAATGAGGCACAGCGCGTGCAATAACTAATCATGTCTGAGCAACCCTAAGCCCATTATTAAACACGGGCAACTCTAGGCCAAACACACCTCGCTCTACACACCATTTCAAAGACTTTCAAGGTCTACTTTTCTGCACCTTCAGATCAGATGCCAACTTTCTGGTCGCCTTTTCAGAAAAAGGGGAGGGAGGGTTGCTGGCTGTCTCGTTACCAAGGTAACTAGGAAACGTCCGACTGCCGAGGCCCGGGAGCCGGTTTTACCTTCAGATCCTTCTTAGTAACGTCGGTGTGGGAGACGGCTCGAATGGTCCCGGAGAGCCAGGGCCACTCGGCGACGCGCTCCAAGTCCCAGCTGTCGTGGCCGCCGTCGCTGCCGTCGGCTGCGGACAGACTGAGGAATCGCTTCCCTACCAATACTGGCCAACTTTCTCCGAGCGTGAGCACCATGGTTCCAACGCTGCAGGAAGGGCTCCTCCCTGCAAAAACACAAAAACAAAATGCAACGGGGGCGGCCGGCGGGAGGGGGCCGGGAAGAGAGGTCGGTGGGGGAGGCCAGGGCGGAGGAAAGGGTCCTAATCCCGATCGGAGGAGGGGACCCCAGGCGGCGGCGGGTGAGACGGAGGACCCGCACCCGATCTCTCCACCCGCGCCCTCCCCGCCCCCCGATCCCTCCCCCACCGCAAACACTGGCCCAAGCGTCGCGTGACCCTGGCTCTCCCAAGTTTCGCTTTTCCAAAACCTGAAACCTAAATGCAGACAGAGTGAGGGGAGAATTATTTGTGGCTTAAGTGGATTTGAAAGTGTTCGCCCCTCACCCCGGAAAAGAAAAGGCCCCGAAGCAGAGGCCCCGTCCCAGACGGCCGGGTCCCCGCCCCGGGCAGCCCCGCGGGAGGGGCGAGCCCGCCGTTCCGCACTTGCCCCGCCGCCCCGCCCCGACACCCTTCTACTCCGCCGCAGACCCCCAGCCTGCGCCGCAGCGCGGGGGCGGCGGGGCCGCGGGCTTGGCGCCTTCACCTTTCTTCCTCCGATCCCTTCAGCCGAGGCCGTGGCGCTCTTACCCCGCCTCCCGCCTCCCGCCTCCCTGAGTCACCGGCAGCGGCCACCGTTTCCAGCCGCCCAGCCGACTCTAGCTCTCTGACTTGGTTCAAGAGCTCTCACAAGACACGCACAGCCTCCCGGGCCCGCCCCCTCGGAGCCGCTTCCATCGCTCACTGGCTGAGTCCAAGGAGCTGGGCGAGACTCGTGGGGAAGGAGCCCATCGCCATTGGCCGCCCCGGCGAGGGCGGGGCGAGAGAAAAAAACAATTCCTCGGCTGCCTCCTCCCTTTCCCTCCCCCTTCCGACTCCCGGACGACCCCCATTAGGTTAAAGTACACCGAGCGTAAGCGAGGGATCCCTCCGCCACAGCCATTCTTTCCATTTGTTGCCTCACGGGATGCAAAAAAGTCCAGAGAAATCGGTCATCAACTTTAGGACCCAGAGGAAAATTGCAGTGGTGCACAGATAAGACTGAATGGCGAACCCCAGGGCTGTAAGTGCTTATTGGATTGCTTTTCAAGTGCGTAGGCTGTCGACCGAAGATAGGCTTTTCACTTGGCGGAAGAATCTCACAGGAAAGGGGTGAGGGCGGTGCAGAGTCAGCGGGGGAGGGAAGGGACATGAACGTGCGGTTTGAAGCGTACTCAGTTAGAGGGAGGAGCGACGGTGCTCTAGAGACTCGTGCGCAGGCGCTTCGCGGAGCAGAGGCTGGAGCTTGGGCTGCTGAGCGAAATGGCCGCGGGAGGCGCAGGCGCACGTGGTGCTGATCATGGAACGTCTAAAGTCCGCCATTTTGAAGGAAAAATGAAGAAAGGCATGGAGTCCCTGGGAAATGACGTTAATTAAATCTAAAGCAAAAGATGCCGTTCAGTACAATGCAGAATGGGTTTTTTTCTTTTTGTTTTTCAATGTAAAGGGAGGATGAAAAGATATTCTGAGTCTTACAATGAAATGGAAAGACTAGATCAAGGTCATAATGATGTAAGAGATATGAAGAGGAGGTGACTCTGAAGGACAAAGGAGTTGAGGGGTGATTGTGTCTTTTGGACCTGAAGTTTTTTGGTTGAATGAAGAAAAAACAGAATGAAGTAATTGAAGATCTCTTATTTTATAAAGGCTGGTGCTTGACCTGGCATCACATTTAATCTTTAAATGAAGATTAAGTGAAGAACTCAAGCTCCCAATTTTACAAGTGTGAAAACTGAGAATCCGAAAAAGTTCAGAAATGTATTCAAGGAATTATAGATAGAAGTTAAATCCAGGTGTTGATTTTCAACATATATGTTCTGAATACATGACATTAAATAAAAATTTTAATTAAGAATAATCACTGAAGAATTAATTTGACTTGTAATTTACAGACCATTGAAAAGGGGGAAAATGGAACAGAGAAAACTTGTCCAGTACAACATAAGTCAGAATGGGAAGAAGGGAGGAATGAAAAAAGAAAAAAAGAAAAAAAACCTAAGCAGAAATACGGTAAATACAAAAATAAAATAAAATAAAATTAGAGGAGTAAGTCTAAATATCAGTATTTACAATAAATATAAGTGGGTTAATTTACTCAGACCTTAAAAAGACACACTGGATTAAAAATAAAATCCATCTATAAATTGACCACCAGCAAACTCCAACAACAACACAGAAAGCTTGAAAATAGTGGGTTAAAAGAGTTTGTAATCTAATGGTAATTGAAGGAAAGCGATATAGCAATGTTAATATAATTGAAAGCAAAGGCATCAAAGAGAAAAGGATTTTATACTAATAAAGGATAAAGTCCACAAAGATAACACACACCCTTGAACTATTGTGACTCTGGGAACATATTCTAGCCTATGCTAAGACTAAACTTATGAGAAATTTTTGACAATTTGTAATAAGCGTACAGTGAAGATATTTATAAATACATCTACCCCAGAAATAGGCATCTCAGATTTTTAAAATAAGTGAGGGTATGGAGGATCTAGATTACATAATTAACTATTAATGTGAAAAACAATAGCTGGGAACAAGTTCTATCAAACTTCAAATAACATATAATTCCTAGGTTACATTCATGGTTCCAGAACTTAAGAAAGACGGAAAGGTATCCAATGCATCTTATAAAACTTGCAAACCCCTATTATCCAATCTGAACCAGTAGAGTACAAGAAAGGAAAACGATAGTTCAATCACACTTATGAACAGAGATAGAAAATTCTTATATAAAACATCAGCAAGTTAAACCCAGCAGCATATTTTTAAAATAATCACCGTGATTAATTAGGATTATTATATGAATATGAGGATATTTCAAGATTAGAAAATTACTATAACTCACCACAACAGGTTAAAAGAGAAAAATTGTGTTCCTTTTAGTAGAGGCTGAAAAGAACACACACTCACAATGAACACTGAACTACCATGAAAACTAGGAATATTAAGAGCACACACATATTTAATGCTTATTCATGATTAAAAAATAATTTTAAACTTCCTACAAACCTAGGAATATAAGACACCCACCTTAGAAAAACACCTTCAAATATGAACTAGGAGACATCGACAAGGTTGTTCATTTCAGCATTGTTTGTGGCTGTGAAAAATTAGAAATAATCGAAATGTGCTTCAATTAAATAAATAAATGAAATGTGATACATATAGTGAAAAGCTGTAGAGCATTTGAAAGGGAATGAAATATATTTAGATGTACAAATAACGATAGATTAGCAAAACACATTTTGAATGAAAAAGAAAGTTGCATTTGGCAATATTTGAAAATACACACACACAAATTACACTATATATGTTCTATGAAATATATATATTGAGACTCATAATGATGGTTACTAGTATTGGAGGGTGCACACTAGTATTGGGGGTGTTGGTCAAAGGTGATTTAGCATTGTTTGTAATTCATTTTTACAAGGCAAAAATATTCATGTTACTTTTGAAATTTAAAGCTATATTTTAAATCCTATGAATGTAGTTTACTACATTAACACTCAAGAGTATTCATGACAAATTATTAGAACTAATACAAGCATCGAGAAGGTGATGCAATAAAAAATCAACAAAAAAAGATAAAAAGAATTCCTATTCCTCAACAAGCATCAATTACAACAGAAAACAGAAAAAAAGAAACCATTTATGATTATGAAACTACAGAATACCTTGGAAAAAAACATAACATGAATGAACAAAACCTGTATGAAGAAAGCCGTAGAGCTTTACCAATGGAAAGATATCCATAAAATATATGCATAAAAGAAGATTTGAAAAATTCCATTTCCTTATATTACTTGATAAAGATGTCATTTCTCCTCAACTTAAACTACTTTCAAATTACATTTCTTTCAGTGAATGAAAGAATCAAAATAGAAATACAGTAAGTCCCCTACATACAAACAAGTTCCATTCCAAGAGTGCATTCGTAAGTCCAATTTGTTTGTAAGTCCAACAAAGTTAGCCTAGGTACCCAACTAACACAATTGGCTATATAGTACTGCACTGTAATAGGTTTATAATACTTTTCATGCAAATAATACATAAAAAACAAACAAAAAAATAAAACATTTTTAATCTTAACAGTACAGTACCTTGAAGAGTCCAGTACAACAGCTGGCATCCAGGGGCTGGCATCGAGTGAACAGGCAAGAAGAGTTACTGACTGGAGGAGGGAGGGGAGGTGGGAGATGGCAGAGCTGAAGGATCGTCAGCAACAGGAGACAGAGGGGAAGCTGCAATTTCAGTCACGCCTGACGTTGATGGCACAGGTTCTGGTTCCTTGCTGGATTCAATTCTGTCTACCCTCTTGAAAAAATGATCCAGTGATGTCTGGGTGCTACCTCTTTTTTTTTCATCATAGATGACATAGTAGCACTGGATTGCATTCTGAACGGCTGCTGCAACCTTCGTGTACCATTCTAGGTTCGGGTCCTCTGCCTCAAAAACTAACAGTGCCTCCCAACTAAAGAAAATCCCCTTGCCATTTCCTGCATCGTGAATCTCTTTGGTTCTTCAGTTACTTCTTCCTTTTGTCTCTCTTCCTTCTTTCTCTGGGCCTCCAATTCCATCAGGTCTTCAGTGAAGCTCCTCGTGTTGCACAGCAAGGAGTTCAATGAAGTCATCCTCTTGTAGATCTAGCTTGAAATAAAGATACTCTACTACTGTACTCTATACAGTACCGTACAGTAAAATACACAAAAGCACAACCACTTGTAGAGGATACACGCACGTGACAATGTACGCCAGACGCGTGAACTAACTTAAATGATTCGTCATGTGAACGCACGTTGGCATCTTTGAAAGTTCGCAACTTGAAGGTTTGTATGTAGGGGACTTACTGTATGTAAATAATTAAGAGAATACATAAACAGATCCATGTATATATGAACAATTAATTTAT